GTGCGTTTCTTTAAGTCTTCCTACCAACATGACCGAGTTGCGAAAACAAGGTCAAACAACTTCTATTCCTATATTTAATTTTCTCCTCGACTTTGGTTTTTTTATTTTTATCATTACACGAGGCCTACCGTTTGTAGAACTGGGGGCCCTACTATTTAAAAATGCCATCACTGAGTTTCTTACCTAAGTTCTATTTGTCATTTTGCACTTAATTTTATTGCCTTCCCCGTTTTGCGATCAACTTTACATCGTAATTTCACAACTAACACGCGAGCAGCAGGCGCATATCCGTAGCCGTGTTTTGAAGGAGCTGAATAACGTTATTTGTAACCGGATGCTGCAGATGCAAGAGCGCGAGCGACGCGCCTTAGAGAGATACCAGCATTCACCAGGATATAAATCTATTCATGCCGAGCCGGTCATAAATCCGAAACTGCACTCTGCCCTATCCCTATCGCCTTTGAGTAGGCCTCCTTCATGCGAAGCCTCAATTTGCAACAGTGAAGATTCATTGACATCGGATCAAGTGGCTCTTCTAAATGCCATGCATTTGGTCGATTCTTCCGATAGGCGTGTGGAACTCATTGCCTTAGAAGAAAGACCAATTCCTGATGGGGAGTTAGCCCGATATCATCAGGAATCAGCTAAGTATCCGTCTTTAAAAAAAAGTGAAGCTGAACCAGTGAATGAGAAAGCAAGCATTGAAATTTATGAGGAATCGACAGATATTCATGATTCACCCAAGAACTCTTGTCTCTCTGGTCATTTATCGGCTCTGTGTAACCATTCTATTTCATTTATCGTCAGTCCTTTAATGGATAAGTTCACTCATAAGACGGCCGACTGTCAGCCAATGGATCAGTCTCATTTTAGTTCAGGGCCTGGCGATGAGATATTGTTGCTTGATTCTGAGCCGCTGCCCAATCAACCCAAAGCAAGGCCGATACAACTCAACATCAAATCTGTGGAGTCAGATTTGTTGTCTGCTGGATCTAAGTTGATTGCCCGCGATCACTTACTGACTGGGTCTCTTGCGGAGCACAAATCAATATGCCTTAACATATCTGGATCTGTCAATTCTATCGATACAATCATCTTAGGCCCAAAGCCAATCTTTACCAATACAGCGCCATCACTGACTCGACATACTTCTGTTGTCCATTCCAGCGTCGAGTCGAGCACCTCCAGTACTATAGGTCCCACGGATACGCTTGCAGACATGTCAATCAGCCTGTCATCTGTTGCTGATTTTAATCTATGCTCCCAGATTGGCCGTCTGCGACAACACATTCTCGCCTCTCCTCCGACTACTTATCCCTCGGCCACGTCTTCGTCATCTGTGTTTTCCTCTCTGTCCGACTTCCATAGATCTCAAAGTACAAATAAGCTCACTGACCATTTAGCAGGACTTCCAGGTGAT